CTATCTATCTATCTATCTATCTATCTATCTATCTATCTATCTATCTATCTATCTATCTATCTATCTATCTATCTATCTATCTATCTAATATCTGAAATTCAGCAGAATTGAGCATTGAAAATGACGTAGGGTAAGCAAATGCATCTCCCATAAAGAGATAAATAACTTTGGGACATTTCAGTTTGGAAAAGAGAGGACTAAGGGGGAATAAAATAGAGGTCTGCCAAATCATGTGTACAAAAAGCAAAGAAGGAAGTATTATTTATTGCTTCTCTGATTGTAAGAAAACTGTTGACGAATGATATAAATAGGAAATTGGTTTAAACAAAACAAATGAAGCATTTCTTGACAACATGCGGGGTCCATCTGTGGAACTCTGTGCCAGAGGATGCTGTAAGTCATCACTATAATAGGGTTCAAAAAAGAACTAGATGAATACATGGAATATAGCTCTATTGATGGCTAGGATCGAGTCCTTAGCCTGTGTCTGCCAGAAGCTGGGAAGGGTGATCTGGGATGGATCCCTTGATGATTCCCTGTTCTGTTTATTCCTTCAAGGGCATCTGGCACTGGCCACTGTTGGCAGACAGGATACTGGGCTAGATGGACCTTTAGTCTGACCCAGCACGGCCGTTCTTATGGTTTTAGGGGCCCATTCATCAGCATTAGAACAGTGGCAACCCAGTGAGTTCTACCTAGGCGGGTTCCCCATGCTGTCAGACTGACACTGCCCAGTAATGTCAGGAGAGTTTTCACTGTCTTGGTCTGCCCAGTAGGTGACTTAGGGAACAGGGCCCAGCACCAGAACACCACATGGCTCTGTGCAGGGATTGCACTGACAGCCAGAGTACAAGGAGAGAAAAAATTAGGTCCTTTGAACAATAAGGAGACGGAACAGCCTGTCCCGGATCTGCCTGGTCCTCACCCCGTAGATGATGGGGTTCAGCACGGGGGGCACTAGGAGGTACACGTTGGCAATGATAATGTGGAAATATAGGGGCACATTTTGGCCATACCGGTGTGTGATAGAGGAGAAGGTGGATGAGATGAAAAAGACGAAAATGGCAGAGAGGTGGGACCCGCAGGTCCCAAACGTCTTGAGCCGGGCATCCCTTGTGGGGAGTCGGAAGATGGCCCTGAGGATCTGGATATAGGACACGACAATAAACACGACGTCCAGCCCCTTCACACAGAAAAGCACAAAGAGCCCGTAATAATTGCTGATGAGAGTGTCGGCGCAGGCCAGTTTCACCACAGCCATGTGCTCACAGTGTGTGTGGGGGATTATGTTGGTCCTGCAATATGGCCACTGCCTGGCCAGGAAGGCATAGGGCAGTATGAAAACGCCACCTCGAAGCACCACAGCCAGGCCAATCTTGGCCACCAAAGTATATGTCAGGATGGTGGAATGTCTGAGGGGGTGGCAGATGGCCACGTAGCGGTCAAATGCCATGGCCATGAAGATCCCCGACTCCATCACTGAAAAGCAGTGAATAAAGTACATCTGGGTGATGCAGGCATTGAAATCGATCTCCCTGGAATTGAACCAGAAGATGCTCAGTGTTTTGGGCAGGATGGACGTACACAGGACCAGGTCGGTGACGGCCAGCATGCAGAGGAAATAGTACATGGGTTCATGGAGGCTCGGCTCTGTCTTCACAATGAACATGATGATGAAGTTCCCCAAGAGGGCTATGATGTACATGGTGCAGAAGGGGATGGAGATCCAGACATGAGCCGCCTCCAGGCCAGGAATTCCCAGCAGGATGAAGGTGGAGGGGTTGGTGAAATGGGTTGTGTTGGAATCTGACATGGAGCAGGTGAGAAGATGAGTAGCTCTGAGGCAGAACGGTGTTTCTAGCAGGAACCGTACGTTCTCCCAACTTCCTGTGATGCCCACGGTCTAGGGTGATGGTTGCAGCAGAAATGCCTGGATAGAGAGACAATGTTACTCTGACGCACAACATGTTCTACTGGAAGCTGGTCTCCTCACTGTAGCAAAATGGTCAAAAGTCACACACGGACCAATGACATTTTCAATGTTCAGAGGAAAGGAAGGAAGACCAACCAACCCTACTAACCCTAAGTCCATATCTGTTGTTGCTCCATGCAGTAATAATTCCTGCAGCACATGTTTAGGGAAACCTTAACAGGCACCAGCAGGAAACTCAAGGGAGGATACTGGTTCTAGAGCATTGTTCGTGAATGCAATGGTACAGATTTGAGAGCCATTAGGGAGTTCCCTTATTTCCAGGTTGCCCACGATCTCAGACTACAAAAAACACCAACATTGCACACAATGGCTATGTCTACACTGGCGTCTTCTTGCGCAAGAACATCTTGGTCAAGAGTTCTTGTGCAAGAAGTCTTGAGCAGGAAAACGTCCACACTGCCATGTGCGAGCTGTGCTTTTCCACAAGAGCGCCCATAGCAGTGTGGACACTTTCTTGCGCAAGAAAGTTCTGATGGCTATTTTAGCCATAGGGCTTTCTTACGCAAGAAATCCCTGCCGAGCATCCACACTGCCCTCTTGAGCAAGAACTCCGGTGCAAGAGGGATTACACCTTTTAAAAAGGAGTGTAGTTCTTGTGTAAGAAGCCCTCTCTTACTACACTAATTTACTTGTGCAAGAGCGGGAGAGCAGTGTGGACGCTCTGTGGATTCTTGCGCAAGAATGGCCGAACTTGCGGAAGAAGCCGCGAGTGTAGACATAGCCAATATGTTCCAGGGGAGACATCCCAACTATAACACATCTCCAGGTAAAGACTTGGATGTCTCAGACAGCAGCTTGTGGGAAACACCCAATGTCTACCCTGGCAGCTTCTTCAACAAAAACGGCCGTTCTTCCACAAAAACTTGTCTGCTGTCTACACTGCACACACGTTCTTCCGCAAGTAAATTTACAGCATAGTGTTGGAAAACAGGGCTTCTTCTGGAAGATTTATTCCTATCTCCGTGAGGAATAAGCCCTCTTGAGCAAGAGCTCATCCACAAAAGGGCAGTGTAGAGAGTCAATATGAATTTCTTGCGCAAGAAACCCCTTGGTTAAAATGGCCATCAGAGCTTTCTTGCACAAGACAGCGCCTATACTGCCATGGATGCTCTTGTGCAAAAGCAAATGGTAGTGTAGACACTGTCTTGTGGAAGATTTTTTGCACAAGAACTCTCAGTGTAGACATGGAGAATGACCTGCAATGGACCTTTGAGCAGGCTTGGTCATCCAGTGCCTATAAAGGCTAGGAAGAGGATTTTTGAGACAGGTCATGAGAAAGAGAGACGCTGCCATAGAAGTCCATAGAAGGGCAGCATGAAAAGTGGAGTATGTTAGTGTAAAGGAAAGACAAAGAAAGTGGCAAGTGACAAAGGAATGGAAAATAAAGAATGCTACGTCTACACTGCAGAGGTAAGTTGTAACAAGAAACACAATTTGCAAATTGCATATCTTTTGCCGCTTTACTGTCAAAAGAGGCTTTTCTGAAATTTGGTGTGTTTACACGGCACCAAATTTTGGCAAAAAGTGCTCTTTCAAGACATCCTTTCTTTCCTGTAAAAGGAAGGTGAAAGAGTGCGTTTGCTTTTTTGAAACATTTTAGGAAAAGGCAGTCACTTTCCTTGGACGCAGCATTGCTTTTAAATTTATGGAGATTGCTTTGCTTATCTCCTAGAACTGAAAGGGACCTTGAAAGGTCATTGAGTCCAGTCCCCTGCCTTCACAGCAGAATCAAGTAACATCCCTGACAAATTTTTGCCCCAAATCCCTAAATGGCCTCCACAAGGATTGAACTCACAACTATAGACTTAGCAAGTCAATGCTCAAACCACTGAGCTATCCCTCCCCCTCTAGTAGCTCAGAAAAGCACTTCAGTCTAGACATGGCTGAACTGATTACATTCAAATGGACAGAGAACAAGTCCCAACTGGTAACATTTATAAACACTTAGACTACGTCTAGACCGGCATGATTTTCCGGAAATGCAGCATTTGCGGAAAAGAGCATCTAGATTGGCACGGATGCTTTTCCGCAAAAGCACTTTTTGCAGAAAAGCGTCCATGGCCAATCTAGACGTGCTTTTGCACAAAAAAGCCCCGATTGCCATTTTCGCCATCGGGGCTTTTTTGCGCAAAACAAATCTGAGCTGTCTACACTGGCCCTTTTGTGCAAAAGCTTTGCGCAAGAGGGACTTTTGTCCGAAAGGGAGCAGCATAGTATTTCCGCAAGAAGCACTGATTTCAGACAGTAGGAATTCAGTGTTCTTGTGGAAATTCAAGCGGCCAGTGTAGACAGTTGGCAAGTTTTTCCACAAAAGCAGCTGCACTACAGAGAAGAACGAAGCTTCCGATGTTGATCTGCCTCTGTTCAAACGAACGGATCTAATGAAGACACACTAATTTGAAGTGAGAATGGGGCTCCGGTCGATGTCAGTTGTTCTGCTTCCACGAAGAGTAAGAGAAGAAGAAGGGAGAGTGTTCTGCCTTCAACTTCCTGCAGTGTGGACAGCACCAAAATCCGAGTTAAGCAACTTCGACTTCGATGACACAATTAATGTAGCTGAAGTTATATAGCTTAATTCTACCTATCATGTAGTTTAAATATACCGTTGGTGCTATAAAAGGTCAATTCCCCAAACTTGAGGCAGATTATTAGCAAAATTGATTGGGAGGAAACAAACATAAAAATGTGAATGCAACATGGGAGAGTTTTAAGAAGAGTTTATAGCTAAAAAGCTAAAAAGCCATGATTACACAGTAAAAGAAGTGGAGAAGTTTAGCTAAAAACTGTGTTCAGTGGCAAACTGGAGGTCACAACGCTGAGTTGTGACAAGAACATATAACAAATGGGGAAAAGGGAAAATGGATAGCAAGATATACAATCCGAAGTTTAGAGGGCTGATGAAGAGAGATTAAAAAGACTGGGACTTTTCAGCTTAGAAAAGAGGAGACTAATGGGGAATATGATAGAGGTCTATAAATTCATGACTGTCACCAAATGAAATCAACAGGTAGCAGGTTAAAAACAAACTAAGGAAAGTTTTTCTTCACTCAACACACTGTCAACCTGTGGAACTCCTTGCCAGAGGATATTGTGAATACCAGGACTTTAACAGTGCTTGAAAAAAAATAGGTTCATTCCTGGAGAATAGGTCCATCGATACATATTAGCCAGGATGAGTAGGAATGGTGGCCCCTATCCTCTGTTTGTCAGAGGCTGAAAATGGGTGAGAAAAGAAATTGTTTGATATTTCCCTGTTTCTGTTCATTCCCTCTGAGGGCACCTGGCATTGTCCACTGTCGGTAGACAGGACACTGGGCTAGATGGACCTTTGGTCTGTCGCAGTAGGGCCATTCTGGTGTTCTTATGGACATGGTAATTGGATGAAATCATATTGCCTGTGCTATAACAAATTAAGACTGGTCTTGAACCCCATAAATCTGTCACTAAAAGTAGTAGATGAGAGATTGATATTTACTCAGTCTCAGAACACTCAAAGAAAGCAACATCCAGATACATTTAAAGTCTGAACATATAACTCAATGAGAATAAACTGCAGACATGTACGTATTTACCCTGTGAAACTCCTTGCCACTGACTTTATTGGTGGAAAGAACCGTAGCTGAATGGAATTCACAAATGAACTGGCCATTCTAGTTGGTGCTACTGTCTCCACCCTTACTTAAGGCTGTCTGAAACCATCAATTAGAACACATTTTCAGTTGTTTTCAAGTTGGCTAAGCTAAAAGGAGGTGTCTACCACTGCACCGTAACTCGAAATAAGAAACACAATTTGAGCTATGTAAGTTGTGTGTCTTATTTTGACTACTTTAAAAGAGCTTATTTTGTCATTTGGTGCTGTCTACATGTTGATCTTTTTATTCATGCTTTTATTAATGTTTGAGTTTGTATGTGTGTGTCCCTCCTCTCTATACGTTTAGCTGGTTTTATGTCCCTCTGGTGTCTCATATTTTAATTTTTTATATATATTTGTATTGTGGTTTTTTTTGTAAGCCACCTTGAATATTTTAAATAGAAAGGTGGGATAAAAATATTTAAATAAATAAATGAATTAATAGGAAGTGCCATATTTCAAAATAAAGTGCTATTCCAAAATGTCCCTTACTCCTCATAGAAGGAGGTTTACAGGGGCATTGGAATAGCAAGCCTGCTATGAAGACAAGAGATAGCTATTTGGAGATACTCTGGTACCCCGAAACAGCATTGCAGTGTAGACATAGCCTAAGAGTTTGGACTGAAATCTCTCTCAGAGGGTGTCTGTTTCCAGCTGAATTATTTTTTTTTCAAAGTGTGAGGCATACGCGTTCAGATGCCTTCTTGAATGAAGCAAGGAGAGAAGATTTCTTGCATTTGTTGAAAAATTCTTATAATTGGTCCAGTGCGGAGTCCTAGACCCTCCATGTTTTCAGCAGATAAAACAACCAACCCTCCTCATATTTACACCCTCTTTGGCATTTCAAACAGCAGCGGTTTTGTGTTTTTCATCCCACTTAATTAGCCTCATTAGCACCGGTCCTACAATTGACGGGTACTTTTATAAAATAATCGGTTTAATTTATTCCTCTCCTACTGAAGAAATGGGTTTTGTCCACCCAAGCGCATAATACTCTGAGGTGGCACAAAACTACCAACTGTTTTAACTGTATTTTAAGTAAAGCAAAGAGGAAGAGGTGACAGGATCTGTGCATTAATACATAGTTATGTCCTGAGGCCCTTACTCAGTTCTTACACCAACGTGCTTACAACAACCACAGGACATACCACACTAATACCAACCCTGGTACCTTCCCTTGCAACAAACCCCGTTG